TCCTCTCTTGGAACTGATAAATTCTTAAATTTGGAGCTGTCTATTCTAATTTTATCATTCTTTTAAAATGCCTGGCACTTGCTTTGTACGAACTATTTTATACAGTAGATTTCATAATGATTGTTATATGCATGGTAATGTCTTTAAATGCGAGAGACCAGAATGACAAAAACTTATACCAAACAAGTGTCTGTTATAATATAAAAACTTGAATGGGATGGCATTCTCTTAAAATAGTATTTCGATATTAATAAACCTTTTCAATTGTTTTTTATTAACCTCCAAATTAAATTGAAATTTAATTCATGCTTCCTTTTTTGTATTATTCATGATATAAAACAATTGCTTATATATCTGCCTCTCTGGCAAAAGTTTTAACACACTTTAACATCCTTTTTATTAAATCATCTCCTAGCCTTCATATTTTTATTTCATACTGAATACAACAGAGATTAGATCTTCATTTGATGTATAAGAAAAATTCATTTTACTGATGTGATTTTTACCTTAAAATATTGATCTCCAGAAATAGTCAATACTTGAGCTACAATTCAAGGACTTAATTTTAAGGATATTGTAAATAACTTTCACCTTGGAACAACAGCGCCATTCCCGTTTCCTATAATGAAGTACTGCTCCTCAGCTGCTCTGGGTGCCACCTGAAATGTGTCAGTGCAACAATTGTCCATGGAGATACAAGGACATCAACTCTGTCAGTTTTCCAAACACAGATAATTTAAACCTCAGAAATAGTTTCTCTGGGCTAAGCCACATTAGAATTAAGAACAGTTTCTTCCTTGTGAGGATTCAGAACAGCAGTGTTCTAACACAGTAGCAGACCCTCAACAGATGTCAATTGTTTTCTTTCTGCCTCTATTCCATTGTTCTTTAATTATACATTTGAGTCAGTTTAAATATAATATGCTATTAAATAACTAGAGTGCTTTCCAATTAGAAAACACACACACAGACACACATATACACACACACACCAGCTTTAAGTGGTGAATATTTATGTGGTACTATGATATATTAGCATATAGCGTAAATTTTGTCTTTGAGCATATTACATATTAGAAATTTCTTACTACACATGCAATTACCACTATTGGTCATCAGCAGAGCCAAGTCCTCATTTCCCTGTCTTTTCTTACAATCCTAAAGTATAACATAGAAGTTCTAAAATAAACTGGAACTGATTTCACTTGTGTAGTTAGTGAAATTCAAATAAATTAAGATATTAAAATAGCATCTTTTATATAATGAGTTCTGTCGGGCTCTACAGTAAATGTAAGTGAGCCAGTCCTTTGTTGTACTTTATTATACTCTGTTCTAGGCACCAAGGCATTAGATTGCTAAAAGAATATCAACACTATCATTCTCCATTTTCATTATGTAAATTATTGGGTCAGGACAATTTTGGAAACATAGGGTTCTTATTGTGAGTTGGTTTTACTGAATCCTTTGAGTAACTAGTCAAGAGTTAGTTAATCCTTGGAGTAACTAGTCAGGAGTAGCTAATGTGATATCCATAAAGTTAATGAGAACTCTGAAAGCAACAGAAACTGTGCTCTATTTGATAATGCAGGTTGGGTATTTTTTATTAGTTTGCAAGGATTAGTCTGATTAAATGCCCTTTAGCCTGACCTTTCTTACAAGGGTGTGTGAAAATATTGAAAACACAGTTTGTGTTTTAACCAAAGAACTTATTCTATGGTGCATGACTTATTCATCCTCCAAAACCAAATTTGGTTGGGGCAAAATTTTCTATAATAATCCCATTTTAAAAATAATGTTAAAATTACTAGAACTCCATTAAAAGTGTTTTGGGGCTAGAAGTCGTGTTTACTTAAGTTAGGCAAATCAATTCAGTTATAATTTATTCAAGAGTAAACACAAAATATTCTATATTCAACAATCATTTTTTAAAGTTTTTCTGTTTACATTCATGTTTATAAAATGTTTGCATTTTCAAGGTTTCTCTGAGAATATTAAAAGATAATGTTGTACCTATAAAATATTTGCATATGAAATAAATGGAAAACATGCAGTAACACAGAGCCATCTATTGAAAACACGTGGATCTGATGCTGGATGAGTGTATATGTAGGGCCCTTGGTGTTTACCTTTATTTAGTCATATTCTATTTAAAAATGGGCAATATTTTGTGAGTTAGTTCTGAAGCACATTGATTTTTAAGGGTCAATATATTTATATATCTTTATTTTACAATATCCATCATGTACTAAGTACACAGACTTTTCTAAAGATTAGGTTAGAGTTTATTTTCTTTTGATTTTTTAGGTTACATAAATACATTGCTTTGTTAGAATGCATTTTAGGCATTTGATGAGGGATTACCTGAGGAACTACAAATAATAAATCTTTAGTTTTGATATTAACTAGAAAAAAATAACGTGACAATATTTATAATGACTTGAAGACGTTATATAATAAAGTCAGCACTTGGACAGCTCTCTGTGGTATCTTCTTATTAATCCTGTAATCATAGAAAAGATGGCTTTGAATAATAAAGTAATTGTTGTTGCTGGACATTATAAGATTTCCTACACCGTCTTCATTCATGAAACTGGGTTTCTGCACGTTCCCATCCTCACTATATGCTTCTAATCTCTTGATATGCAAAATGTTATTGTAATTATTGTAAAATATTTTGTTCTAATTTACATTTATTTGAAAATATTTACAGTTTTTTGGCTGTGATTGGCATCATATTCATCCTTGACTACAATAGCAAATCGTAGCCACCTCTTTGAATTTTGAAGCATATTTTCCCTTTATATCCCTGTTGCAGACCAGGTGCAGGATGCATGACCCATCAACTACTAAACATTCTGCACACCGATAAAATAGCAAGAACTTTTTGTATATATACTCATTTCTAAATAATAGCTTCTTTGAAAGTAACGTAAAAATCAGAAAGAGATTAAGAAGAACATCCAGAAAGACACCAATACTTTATGGTCCCCTATTACACTTAGAATAAAATCCAAATAATTTTCATTCATCGAATCCTGGATGTTTGTACACATCAATCCCCCACCCTTATTGATTCCATTCTTTCCCATATTACAGCAGTCACATTGAAACCAGGCAATTCCAAAAGTCAGCACAGTTCTTTCCACCACAGGGCTTTTTCAGTGGCAAGTTCCCGTGCTTAGAATGCCTTTCTTTGCACATTGCACACACTTGGTTCAATCTTTTTCATGAATTTTCACTGTAAATATCAGCTGCTTATCGAGATTGTATGTTTACCCTAGTCAAAAATAAAGAAACTAATGTCTTCCGTTGTAGTATCTTGCTTAACTCCTTGGTTCGTTCTTGACCTTTATTGCAGCCAGCAATTACCGTTTCTCTTGTGTACTTGGTTTTATTTGTCTTCTCTCATTAGAAAATATCTTTGTGATGACAAGGAATGAATGCATATCTTGTTCATCAATGTTTCTCCAATTTTAAGTACTGTCCCTAGACTCTTTTCAGTATCCAATAAACTTTTATTGAATGCACTCATGCACAAATAAATTAAATATTTCACACACAGAAAGGTAGGTTGAAGCAGTATAATCTGGATCTAAATGGTGCTAATATGGAATTGAATTTTAATCTCAACTTCAGCATTCACTAGACATGAGACGAGTTCTCTGTTTTGCCTCAGTTCCCATATTTATACAAACAGAAAGTAATACTTGGCCGGCATCTTTCAGAGTGCTTCTGTGAGGACATATTGAAATAATTGATGTGAGGCACGTTACATTATTTAAACATTATATAAATAAAAGATAATCTCCTAAATTTATCTAAAAATTAAATAAAAAGGAAAATATTTAAATTCAGTAAGAGAAGTTGGAAAAATTTCAGCATATTTTATTTGTAGAAAAGTTGGCCCTCATTCTTCTACATCAAAAATAATGGGGGAAAGAATCAGGAAATGACTGCTTATGAAAAGAGAACCCAAGACTTGGGGAAAGATTATTTCCTAGCGATTGAGGCATGCAAGTTACATTTTATGGCCACATTGGTAAAAGAAGGATGGGCTTTTTTTTGGGTCACAGTTGGTGATATCATGAGGGTTTAACTTTCCTTTAAATAGAGGTGGGATAATACAAAGTAGCTCAGCAACAGTACCTGGTGAAAGAGACTGGCACATATACAACGAGGAGAAAGGGGAGAATTAGAGCAAACGTGATTACCTATGTTCTAGTCTCTTCGTCTACTTGTCTTCCCAATTCCTTCACAGACTGTGACTAATGAATCATATATATATATATTGGTTTTTAAATTAAGCCCCTCCCAACCTGCCTTCCACAGATAGGGTCTGGGGAAAGGAGGCACAGATAGGTTACCATAACTAATTCAATATCCCAATGATTCTACACCGGAAGAATGTTTCTGCACAATATTTCTCCGAGCCGCTTTGTTTGTTTATCAATGAACATCCTACTGCGTATCTGAGATGTAGGTCATCGGAAATACCAGCTGCCGATCACATGCAGTCTTCATTATATTTCCAGACCCAGTGCGCTGCTGATTCCTGCACAACTGTAGTGCGTCTGAGCTGTGTGAGGGAAAGGAGACACCTGTGCCTTAGGGACGCAGGTGAAGTCCCATCTACCTTCCTGAGACTTTGCTGGCGCTTTTCCACCCTCTCAGCGGCTCACTTCTCATCTCCACCTCCCCTGTCCACTTGGACTCAGACCTCTCTGCTTAACCCGCGCTTTTCCCGCCCTCTCTCTCCTCCGCACCTTAGCTGAAGACACAGAGAGCTCCACAGAACTGGGCATGCCTAATAGCCAGGGAAGGCTTGGGCTGCAAGAAGAAAGCGTTTGCATCTTCCGAGCTCCCCTCCCCTCTGCAGCTGCCTCCTGCCAGTCAGGCGACCCGACGTGCACCACGGTCCAATGAGGGCCCGCGGCCTTCGCCAGCGCCCCGCCTCTCCTGGCATCACCACCAATGAGTGGTTGGCGGAGGTGGGCCGCGCCCTGTTCCCGCCTCTCCAGTTAAGGCCGCCGGTGTGAGCCCGGGCTCGGCGCGAGCGAGGGACGACGGAAGGGACTGGCAGGTGTGGACGCGGGGCCACGCAGCCCGACGGCGGGAGTCGCAGGTGCTGAGTGCATGGGCCAGTGAGGACGCACGGAGCTCCCCTCGCCGCGCAGAGGAGGAGCAGCGCGGGAGCCAGGCGCTGCCCCACGACCCTGCGTCCGAGCGAGCGGAACCTCGCGCTTCGCCCGGGGACAGTCCGAAGTCCGCGCTATGGAAGAGGAGAAATATTTGCCTGAGCTGATGGCAGAGAAAGATAGCCTGGATCCATCTTTTGTGCATGCATCGCGCCTTTTGGCAGAAGGTAGGACTTGCCCCCACCGATGGGCACAAACCGCCGGCTGCCTATTTCACCCTTGGCTTGATTAGGGGAGTGAAGTTGGGGAGGGACTCCTGTCGCCGCCTTCGCAGAAACTGTCCCCCCGAAGATGCTCGTCTCAGAGCTCGGGCGGACAGACCCCCTTCTTAGGGCGGACAGCAGTGCTCTTTCTCCACGTCTTAATTTGGAGAAGACCAAAGCTACGGAGATCTAATGGCAGTGGCGATGTGACCTGTTAGGATCGTTGATAGAGAAACCGTAAAGTGTAACGCGGTCTACAGGGACATTTTCACTTCGCTGAGGGAGGGGAAAGCAGTTTGGAAGTCAATGGTGATCAATGTAGTGTTCTAAGAGCTTTTTGGCTACAGATCAGTATTTTTATTTTTATTTTTATTTTTACTGCATTTAGGAAGTGATGTTTGATGCCCTTTAATCAAAGTCTATCCTATGGAAAGTGTTAGAATTAACCTATGCATTAAACTGTGCATGTTCTTATATGTATGCTAATGTAGTAAGTAGAGGCTAAAGTGCTTATACATTTATTTGAAGTGTGATGATTGGGTACTCTGCAAGATATTGGTCCCTGGGAACGCTCTATAATTGATCAACTGTTTTACCAAGTGTGCATTTTCTTTTGTGTACCTGTAATGTTAAAGGAGATTTCATTCCCAGAGGAACGTATATGTCTTGTCTTTTGTATTGCTTTGAAAGGTTAAAAAAAAAAAGACACACAAACTTTATTAACCAAATTACTCCATTTATGTTATAATAATGCCATCTAAATACTCAAGACACCTATATCTGTAGTTATTTACACATGCCTTTTTAAAACAGCTGCAGATTTTTTTAGATGAATGCTTCATTAATAATGAATTGCTTCATCATCAAATTGGTTACAGTGCAGTTTTGTAGCTAAGGTTGTTATGGACTTACATACAGCAAAAAACTAAAAGGGATAACTTCCTCTACCCCAGCTCCTCAGTATTAAAAGATTTTTTTGAGACTTAGTTGTACCAAGGAAGAATAAATTCTGCTCCTCAATATATGATTTAAATCGGTATTAGCTATATTTTTAATTGATGGATTGTTATTTGTGTTAACAATAAAGTGTAAGGTATTTTTTTATGTTTAAATGCTAAACAGGAAAAGATTTATAGTGAAAACATGGAACATGTGAAATAACTGAACTGTTTTCAGGGAAAAAGCTTGTTTTATAGATAAGTGGGAAGGTGAAATACAATTATGCCGACTACTTTGGTTACTGAATGAAAAAAATAGAAATTAAAGTGGAAAAGTAAAGTCAATAAAAGTGCACTTTTTTGCTTTCTCAAAAAAGACAACTACATAAAAATAATAGCAAAATAATGAGTTAATAGATGTTTAAGATTGTTTGAAATGATTTAAAAGGCAAGTCTTACCAGTCTTCGGTATCTTTAATATATTTTGAATAGTCTTCAATGTATTTTCCAGAAGTTTCTTTATGTAGCTGATAATATGTCTTTAAAGTGAAAAAAAAAAAAAAAACCATTTACAAATTGATCGTTCTCTCTGACCTGCTAATTAGAGTTCTATTTGAGACAAGTGGCTCAAAGATTAATTCATCAGTCATTAATATGAGTTATTGTACTTGAAGGCGGTCAAGCTAAATAAATGCATACAAGAAACTCTTAACAGAGTGCATAAGTATTTCTTTGTCTGGTAAAACAGTCAGAGAAGGCTACGCACTTGGTTCCTTAACATTTTATCTTTCCTAGGAACTTGATTTCTTGATATAATACTTAGGAACATGTTCTGATGTTCCTTGTAATTTGATTTTTTCCCAGCAGGGGGAAGCATGCCCTGCTTTTGTAAAGAATTAGAAGGAAAAGCTCTTAAATAGAGGAAAGCATCTAAGTAAGAAACAAAGAGGGTACCCAAATTTCAGAGAAATCAGCATAAGGAAAAGAGAATGGAGGAGGTTATAATAATCTTGGAGTACATAAAGAGTTATGCAAAAGGATGCATAGGTTTTAGATTACCTCAGTACTTGGGCTCTTTACATGTGCTTATCAAAGAGTGTAAGATGATTGTTCTTGGAATCTCAAGGATCTTAATGTATATTTTATGGTATAGATCTTTCATTATCTTTCCAAAGGCCAGTTGCCAAGATGTCCACGCTTAGTTTCAGATGTCTATAGAAGAGTATCGTTGAGGTGATTTTATTTCTCATACTTGATAATGCACTGATTGAAGGCAGTGGCTATAAATAAACCTGACATAGATATTCATTTGGAAAGAAGGTGCATACTGAAGTACATTTCAGTCAGTACTGTGCAGACAGTGTCAAGCCTGAATGAGTAATAAAAATGATACAGATGATTCAGTTCTTCAGAATGATTTTCCGGAAGCTAATATCTATAAAGGCAGTAATAGAAACCAATGAGCTTTCACAATGATTTATTTTGCATTTTGATTGGTGATAGATGCAAATCAGTGCTCAATTGACAGTGCTGCATGTAGAATTGAAGGCTGTGGGGTTGAAAGTACTAGTTGGATGTTTATTTGGGGTTTTTGGGGGGTCCATTGTAGTTTGTTTTATTTCACTTGTTTCTGCTGTGTGTTTTCAATAGGAATAATTTCAATTGATTGTTACTCAGAAGAAATCTTGAATAATGTAGTTTGAAGTTTGTTTCTAGTATGCTTAAATAATTTAAATAATGTTCATCCTGCGATTATAATGTTGTTTAGTTATCCACTTGTTATGGTAGGTGCTTTTGAATATGATAAAACAGCAAACTCAGGACTATCCTTAAAGTTCTACTCAGTGTCTGAATTTGGTTGCCAGATGAAATTACATGAGGTTATTTATATCTATTCTGCTTCTGGGAAGTGCATTAAACTGTGAATCTAGATACCTGGATTTGAATTCCACTTTAACCTCAACTGAATCTGGGTAAGCTTTCTTTCCCTGGGCCCAGTTTCCTTGTCTCTCAAATTAAGGAGTTGGACTAAGTGATATATATGTGGGGCTTTTTTTGCAATTCTAATTAAGTCTCAGACTACTGATGGATACAACGAAGTGATGTTTGTATATTCGGAACAAAAAATCAATGGCTGCACATTTTCAAAACTTTTTTCATTCTTTCCTAGTTTAATGATTAATAGTATATTTATGGCACTAAAATGTAATTTGAGGCGTATAGTTTATTTTGGGTATTGGGGACAGATTTATGTTCTTAAGTCTATTGAACTACTATTAATGTTTGAGGCCAAAAATATATATACATGAGAATATTGTCTGGAAATATTCTATGTCTGCTGAAAGACATAGATCTGTTCAGATTTATATATTCAATTACGGTGATTCCATATTCTTAGGAGCATTAGAAATTTTTGTCCAATTGAGAGCTGTTTGGGGAAGACTTCCTAGCCTGAAATCTTTGCAAGCATTATATGACGATGTCAAACATTGCCAAATACCCCAGCAGTTCAAATGGTTTTCAAAAAACTGTAGGTACTATTTTCAAACTTTAGTGAAAAGTTTGACCTCCCATCTAGATTTGGCCTTTATTTTTGCAGATATAAATGAGATCTTAAAATATTAAGGAAAGAAGGATTAATACTTATCATAAATGCAAACTTGTGAGTTAACTACATTTCGGTTATCAATAAGAACCATTTTTTGGTTAGATAGTGTTTCTTAAATATTTTTCATAAAGCTTGATATGTTTTTAAGTTAAGGAAAGTTATTAGTGTCATGTCTAAAGCACCTTCTGGTTAAAAATAGTATTCCTGTGACTCTTTAAAGTGACTTTTCTTTTGATTAATGTAATCACCTTTTTCTCCCAATAGATTTGGGATAATCTTACTTATGTGTCTTAAATAAAAGACAAACATGGGCAAAAAATTAAATTCAAGTTATCTTTGATCTTCAATTAAAACAATTTATGATATAGTGGAAAATTTGTACTTTGACAAGAAAAACACTTAGGAATGAGTATTGACACTTCTACCTACTGGGAAGTATAGGATGTATCATTTCCCCCCTCTCTGATACTCAGTTTCTTCATCTATATAACAGGAAAAGTAATACCTGCCAGGCAGAGTTCTTTTAAGATGGAAAAACAAATAAAAAAACAAACTTCTGCTTGTGATGCCTGTGATAACATAAGCAGTATTTTTAAAATTTATTTTATTTTATTTTATTTTATTTTATTTTCAAGACAGAGCCTTGCCCTGTCACCTAGATTGGAGTGCAGTGGTGTGATTTAGGCTCATTGCAACCTCTGCCTCCTGGATTCAAGCAATTCTCCTGCCTCAGCCTCCCGAGTAACTGGGATTACAGGTGCATGCCACTACGCCCAGCAAATTTTTGTATTTTTAGTAGAGACAGGATTTCACCATGTTAGCCAGGCTGGTCTCAAATTCCTGACTTTGTGATTCTCCCGCCTCATCCTCCCAAAGTGCTAGGATTACAGGCGTGAACCACCATGCCCAGCTAGTAATTTTTATGTGTATAACAAAAATATAAGCAGAAATTAAACAAATGTAAGATGATGCACCTCAATTTGAGAAAATAAGTAAAATAAACACTTCCTTACTTTAGATTACTGCTGAGTTAAATTTAAATTCATAAAGCAAATTATGAAATAAATTACCTTATGAAAAATGATTAGAGTTTTAAAAATATCATGTTTAGTAAATGATCACTTGTTAGTCTTTAACCATGAGCTTGATTAGCCCTGATCCTATTTATTTCAAGAGTAATTTCAGACCTATTCAGACTTCCCCTTAAACCTACACATTCTTCACTCTCTTCACTCTCAGCAGGTGATTTCATCATCCTTTTTATTGGAGGAAATGGATATATCTCTTCTGCTATTCCTTAACCTCCTACCACCTAAAAACTTCCATAGCCATCGTCACTGTCTTTCATTTCCAGAAGACCAAATGTTTCTTTTCTTCAAGGTTGACTTGCCACCCATATCCTTGACCTAAATGCTCTT